TGAAAATCATTTCTTTGAAGCTCTTCGCCTCGGGCCTTCAGCCTATTTCATGCCATCTCTTTCTATACTCTTTATCCTTTACCTTTATTTACGAAAAAAAAGTGTGACGTAGTGCGTCGCGAAACGTCTCTTTCTATACTCTTTATCCTTTATCTCCATTTATGAAAAAAAGTGAGACGTAGTGAATTGATACGTTTGAATAAGTGCGTCGCGAAGACATTATCTAAAGTTCGCGTAAATTCGCGTATTGGTCTATTCGTAACAAGTGAAGAATTAGTCCGCGATGTGTCTTGATCACGGTCGTACATACAGGTCTTGCAACTCCCTTGGAGGGGGTAGTCTTCTTTTAGAAGCATCTTTCATTTCGCTTCATGACCACAAGAGGTGTTGCGATCAAGCGATCCGTTCCTATTTCTCTCTCCCGCAGCTGACTGTAGAGTGAGATAGATAAGGGGGTCGCTCGATCACAGCAACGCTTGTGACTAAAATTTAAAATGTGCCGTGCTTCAAAACCACGTCTACCCCCACCGCTGAAAATTGGGCGAGTTGCAAGACCTGTATGTAAGACCGTAGGTTTCAACAATCGTTCTGCTACGCAGCATCGGTAAAATATGTATTAAATATGCTTGTGGCATCATACGCTTCAGTGCAGACAGACATGAGTTGCTTGCTTTTGTCATATTAAACTTACCGAGCTTACACTGTGCGATCGAATTTAGGATTGCAAAGAAAAAAAGTATTTAGGCTATATCCGATGAGTTGTCTCGTTCTAAGTGTTGCTTTGGGAACCAGCGATAAGTAGCGGAGGACTGTGCCCGCCAGGCTACCCGTTCGTGATCACGTTCAGCTCGGCTACGACGGGATATGCATTATCGACAGAGGCGATGATCACAAAATTCTATTCCCCGGCTCGCCGCTACGATTTAGCGCTATGTTTTTGGTATCAGCTAAAACCGTAGCGTTGTGCATCTCCCTACTGATCTCTGAGTTTGGTCCTGATAAGACAGAGATGAGTAGGGAGATTGCCAATGAGCCTGTTTTTGGTGGTCTTTGATTATCGTCATCAATCTCATTAATTTGGTTAGGATTCTTCGTTAATTGTTCGTCTGGCAAAATCTGCCATCCTGGATCATTTTCATCTTCTGCTAACCATTGTGAAACACTTTCAAGAGTTTTCAATTTCATCGGCTTTCGGTAATTGACGTACTAATCTTAGAAATGACTCGATATCAAGAAATTGACCAAAGTTCAAGACAAAGTTATCTTCAGAATCACCAAAAAGATTTTTCGACATTTTTTAATATGGATATGCATAACTAAAGTTCAAGCGTATGCAATGTTATTACAGCAGTCAACCAGCGTATATGATTTCAAAAAAATTCACAATTCATTGTCAATCAGTTTTCAACAAAAGTTCATGTAGAAAAGTTTGTTTATAAATTCTTTTCAATTACATAATGGTAAATATACTAAAAGTACTTGAATTATATTATTTACAAGTAATTTTAAATTTGTCAGTTAATTTCAGTGTTACTATTATAGTGAAAAAATAAATAATCTTTATTAATATCTGATACTGTATTGTAGCATAACTAATAAATATTCTAAAAAGGTATATTTAAGATTCCTAATAAAACATAGCAATAAATTAACGACTAACAATAAATTGTATAATGTCTTGCAATGATTACTTCCAGTTGTCGAACATATATTTCATATGAATTATATTCAAACTTTCACTAATAAAAATACTTCTTATTATAAAGTATCTACAGTGTTAGTTTTCATTCATCACTGAAGTGTCTGATTCTTTCACGAATTTCGTTAATATTCTTTTAGATACTCAAGGCTTCCAATTCAAGAAACTATCTTGAATTACGATTTGCTTAAATATGCTATTAGGCATAGACTGCAGCGATTTCCTGTTGCGTTGTGCTTCCAGAATGTAAGACACTTTTTCCCTAGCTTCAGCACGCGGTATGTCGCCCCTGAGGCTGAGTAATCTAACCAGATGATCTTCCGTTATGTCCGGATATTTCTCGACTAGCGAATGCAGGTCAAGCGACAAAATCTCAGAATCTTCGCAACGTAATACTTCGGCAAGTCGTTTGATTATTTCAAACGGTGAATCAAAGTTGCCGACCTTAGGTGCTATTCTAACGAAGAAGTTCTTTAGCTTATCTGCCTCAGTCATTATTTTTGAAGTGCAAGTCAAGCACTCGTCATACGTTTTCAACGATATCTTACGTTGCAGCATTGCTGCAATGTATCGTTTGGCTATGAGGTTTTGTGCCTCCGTTATAACGTATTCAAAATTCTTAACACGTAGATGATTGTAATCCTGGAAATAGTCTTCCAAGGTGACACATATTGTCTCGACTGGTATCGGTGATGATAACCATTTTGGCGTCAGCAAATCTTGAAAGTGAAGCTCCAAATCGAGGAAAGATTCTTCAAGTAGAATCTTAGCCGCCTCATCGCGCAACAGTTGGTAATTCCCTAAAAGAGTTTCAAATTTCACAGCTGCGTCGGCGCTTATATTTGGTACCCAATAAAGTTGTTTCATCTGTTGCGCTAATTCGACAAATTGCAAGCAGTTGTTTACCACAGTTATCATATGATGCGTAAAATAAGGTACCAGACTCCTGTCCTCAAAATGTTTGTTTTTAAATTCCAAGATTGCTTGATGGTACATATTGCCATATTTTGTTACCTGTTCAATGCATAGGACAAGGGCCTGCGCTGTTAGATTGGCACTAATCGTCTTGGTCACTTGAAGATTTTGATCAATCATTTGAAATATTATAACGGGTGCCGCAGTATGGTAGTATATTTCTTGTGTAGTACCTTCTGGTAGTACTCCACTCCACCAATCAACCTTTTCTGTTTCTAGAGTTTTTTTCATCCAGTCTTCATAGTTCTGGCACATATTTCGCAAGTATTTTTCTTGAAGATCATTGACTATTGCATTACTGAGTAGTGGTCCAATATCGCTGGTGTCTATATTGAGTTCTGGATGTCGCATCAATTCTGGTCCACTGTAAGTATTCATTATCCAGGCTAGTAATGAAACGTATTCATTACCTTCAAGCCCATTAGCAATGATATCTTTTAAATGTTGAGATAGACTAACATGATACATTTCAACAAACTTTCTCATTATGTTATATGAAGGTGGAAAGCAAGGTTGACAAAGTGTTTTAACAACTCTCAAATCCTCCAGGATGAGTTGCCTTGTTAATTCAAGATATCGAACTAGCCACATTTTATTGTCAGCTCTTTCATCTACATGAGTACCTTCGATGCGATTGGCGACAGATTTTTCTAATACACGAATAGCTATTTCTTTCCACTTCTTAGGCCTTCCAGGAGGTATAAACCCACTCTGACGTTGTCTTTGAATAGCAAAGTGATCGGCTTTCTCTTCTCTTTCTATGATTCTAAGGGCAGTTACAATGACTGTTGGCTCCTTCCTCACAGTATTCAAAGTTCGATCAAGCACCAGTCTGATCTGCTTTTCCATAAGCTGTGAAAGTGTCTCTACATCCTCGAAGTAAGCTTTCAACATGATTTTATCAGCAGTGGATTGATTTGGAAGCTTGTGCAATTCATAAAGCAAATCATCACGAGAATTTTCTAGATCCATTAGACTCTGATGAGCATGTAAGAGTTTGCCATCGTTAATCCATTGCTTTGTTTTTTCCACACTTTCAGGAACAGTAAAAATATGTTTTAAATTTTCTTTAGCAGTGACATATTGTGAGTGACGCATATTCTCATCTTGAACTGCTTGAAGCTTTGCATTCAGTTCCAGGACAGAACCAAATGACTGTCCAATCATGTTGAGCTCTTCCTTAATCGATTGAATACTTTCAAGAGAGCTTTGAAGCTGATCAAATCCAACACGCACTCCATCTAATTGACTTTGCATTCCAGTTTTCAACATAGTTTCGATTGAGGCCTTCTTTCTACTGATTCTGCGTTTAAATTGTTCAACTTTTTCAAGTTGACCTGGACGCTGAAGCATGTTTATTACATGCTTCGTTCCAGTTGCTTTAGCTTCTTCTTCTAGTTTTTGTAAGTCCAACATCTTCGTCGTACTTTTAATATTTTAATTCTCGAAAAATTGTTGATTGAAATTTTTTTGACAACCGTTACGTATGTACAATTTTCACTGTAGGTTATGTTATGTTACATATGTCAATCGTGCCAACGATCGTGCCTTCTCCTTCCAAACGTTCGAAAAATCACTGAATTATCGACGAAACTTCATTTACTTACTTTACGTTCATATCTCATCAAACTGTAGTCCACTAACGTTTCAAAATCTAACTAGATATAAAGCAATTACTTTAATAAAATAAATGGATAATATACGAGAGTATTATAAATGATTGCACTATTTATGAAAACATGATTGGCAGTGGTATGACTCTGTATACATACAAGATCGCTGCTTGTGGCACTGAATGATAAGAAAAAAATAAGAATATAAACCATTTCTATTCAACTAAGATAACATTAAATTTTTACAATAGATTTTCATTAATCTTATTTATATATTTTTTAAGAATATAATTGCATCTTAAAAGTTTTGAAGTATTAATTAAACTTAGTACTATTAATTTTTTATTCATAATGTTTATGATATTTAATGAATTTATATAGTGTGATGGTGTTGCTATCGCCGTTATTATTAACGTCGGAGGAAACGGGCATATTGTTGATACTCATCTCTGTTGTTGCATTATTGCCGTGGCAGTAGTATTCATGAAGTAGATGTCGCTTTGAGCCAAGAATTTCGTTACGAACATCCGGCCACGTTAAAATAGCTTGTTTGATATAAATTTTGCGAACCGGGGTTCATTGGGGTTATTTTCGCGGTGCGGAGCTGGGCAGAAAAAGTGTTGTGTCGTGCTCGGAGGCTTAAATGCTTATTTGATAGCCAGCAGCAGTAGAAAAAAAAATAAAGAATGGACTACTGGTCAACGTGGTTGCTTTGCATTTCGCTCCTCGGCACCGTTTTACTTACGAGTGGCGTCGAGTTAACCTTTGAATTACCAGACAACGCCAAGGAGTGCTTTTATCAAGAAATCAAAAAGAATGTCTCATCCACGCTTGAATTTCAGGTATATTTCTTGCAAAGGATTTATCTTTTGATCTTTGAATATAAGATTTCTACTGAATATAATTAATCTATTTATTATTACGTTTCTGGGAGGGGCATACTAAAAATTATTAGTATTAATTTACAATATTTAGACAAATTATAAGACTTGAATTTGCTACATAAATTATTTTGATTGGCAGGTTGTAACAGGTGGACAGTATGATGTTGATGTTACATTAGAGGCACCAAATAAAGAAATTATTTATCGACAAGTGAAAACACAGTTCGACTCACACACATTTGTACCAGCAGTGACTGGTGTATATAAAGCATGCTTCAGCAATGAGTTTTCCACATTTTCACATAAGCTCGTGTACATGGATTTCCAAGTTGGAGACGAGCCACCTCTTCCTGGCCTTGGTGAACACGTAACTGTCATGACTCAAGTAAGTTTATCATTAGTTTTTGAGTCATACATTAAATCTAAGTAGTCAATTGGATATCTTTTATGTTATATACTTTTATTCCACTGACATAACTTCTAAGATTTTGTATTGTACCATTTATAGATGGAGTCGTCCGCACAAGAGATACACAAACATTTGAGCAGTATCCTAGATTATCAGACACATCATCGATTACGTGAAGCTCAGGGCCGAAAGCGTGCTGAAGATCTAAATGAGCGTGTATTGTGGTGGTCTGTTATGGAGACTGCTGCAATCCTTATTATTACTATAGGCCAAGTTTTCGTTCTTAAAAATTTCTTCACTGAAAGGACCTCCTTTCAATCCTCCTTTCAAAAGCACTAACATTGTCGTTAATCAACGAGACCTCGTAACATCGTGAGCCCGTTGCACAATGTTCCTGTCTGATTTTCTTGGTGATCGACGAGCAGATTTTTAAAGCGTCTTCTAGATCGTTTATTGCGTTGATCGAGTGCCGGGACAGTCATTTTCTATTTCTGCGATCGCTCGATCGTAAAACGCCGGTCGATCATTGATTCCCGAATAGCGCGAGAACAGTAAGAGCCGTAACGTTCCGTCGTAAGCGCCATTGGACATACGTTTTACGTCGTGTGTATTTGTACTTGGGTATTAATTTATGGAATGATAGACATGTGTACTTTAATGAAGGTGCCAGTATGACCTATGAACTTTGATGGGAAGAGTAGGAGCAATAAAATTGCCTTACATCCTCTGCTTCTCAGATTTTGGCGTGAGTGTTAAACCTACGTCAAAGTCAGCAGTTCATTATCGATGACAGCATCATATGATTTATGTTTCTTCATACTGTATGTGTGTAATACAATCGATTAAAATATTTGCGTGAATACTCGAACCTTTGGTATACGTCGATCAGTTATTTTTATCTGGCGCAACACCTTACATCGCTTATTGCGCGTTCCAACGTAGTATAAATTCAAGACCAGCTTTAAATGTTCTCTTATTCACTCGAATTAAATTAACAAAAAAAAAACAAGCAGAAGATGAGCAATTATCTACAACTAATGGATGGACTTAAACAATTTTTAGATTTCCTTAGAATTATTATTCACTAAATTATTTAGTGATGATCTTAACTTGATCAATCGTTAGTTTCGTAATGGCATTATAGAACAAAAAGAATGTCGTGATGTAATGACAAGGTATGCTGAAGCAACTACGTTGTGTTTTGCGGTTCGTCCGTTTACAGTTTGCTATATTTTTTGTTCTGCATATGCAGCGCAGGTGAATAAATGTTTTTTTGCGTGTGTGAATATCGATAAACTAGCATTCTTGAAAAACTTGCATCATCAGTGGAGAAGCCACGTATCGACAAGTGGCAAGGAAGAAAATTTAAATAGGAAGTACGTGTCATATAGAGACAGGCGGTGGTTCAGCGTATGTGCTACCGCGCCGTTATTCAGTGACAATAAATAGAATCTATGTAGCAGCTGTTTTAACCTAAGATTTGAAGTTTCATTTAATTTTTTATCTATAAATTGACATAAAAATTCAGTATCATGGAGGTAACTATGATGTTAAAAGTATAGTTTATGTTTGATAAATTTTATGTTACTCATAAGTGTACATATGTTGACAAAAATATGTAATTGAAATTTTGTATGATACCATACTGTTTTATTCTACCCATAACAAATGGATATCGAATGAATAATATTAATGTTGTATTTAACATTATGTGAGTAAGTGTAAATTCAATAGAAAACTTTACTTGTGTTAGGAACAAAATATTCCAATTGAAATCAATGCTGGTAAACTACTGGAATGGTTAATTAATAGAAGACATTGTAATCGAGACTGGCAATCAAACGTTTTAGTTATAAGGGAAAAGATTAATAATGCTATTCAGGATATGCCGATTCATGAAGGCATTGCTAAGTTGTTGTCTGGCACATGTATGTACATTTAATTTTAGTAGAAAAAAGTAATATTCATTTGGAAAGGATACCTATTTTATGTTATATTGGTTTTCAGATATAAATTATTTTCACTGTAAAAGGATAGTTGAAATATTGAAAGAAACTGAAGCAGATTCCAAGAATTTATTTGGTCATTATGGATCCCAACGAATGAAAGATTGGCAAGAAATTCTGCGTTTGTATGAAAAGGACAATCTTTATCTTGCAGAAGCTGCACAAATGCTTAATAGAAATATAACCTATGAAGTACCCAGTTTTAAAAAACAAATCCAAAAGTTTGAGCAAAGTCAAAATGTAAGTAGCATAATTTAAAACATTATAAAATTGATGTTAAGTAATAAAATTTGTATACAAAATGAGATTCTTGTTCATCAGTAACACTATTTTTAGGAGTTGGATAAAAAACAAGCTGAGTATAAGAAATCAGAAAACACTGCACAATCAGAATTTACAGCTCTTTGCAAACAATTAGGAATTCCTGGAAAAAAAATTAAAAGAGAATTGGTAGAACGTATCATAGAGTTACCAGAAATTTATGATAAATTTGCTAAAAAAGCAAAATCCATAGAAAACGTTATAGAATTTTATAGTACCTTTGTTCAGTATACATTAGGAAGACAACATGATGGTGGCTGCGTACCTATGGTCAAATACATCTGTGGTAACTTTATTCTTAGTTCATTTTTCTATTGGGTATATTTATTTTATATCATTTATTTCATTTCTTATATTATTATTTATTTCAGAAAATGGTAATGTTACCACTTATGAATGGACATACGGTGAACCACCATTATCCATTATGGAACCACCTTTGAATATAAACTTTGACGATGAAGATGACAATACGAATAGTCAAGACACTATTAATGAGGTATGATATTTATCAGAATAATAATAATTTAGCATAATTTATTAAACAATAGTTTTTCATATTTGACACAATTGTAGATAGATTTTGGTGAAAGTGCTGCTGGTGGTATTAATTTGGGTGCAATAGATGCTGATGGTGCTATCAACTTTGGAGATGATGTTAATTTAGAGAATGCTGGGGATATAGACTGGGGTAACATTGGTGTGGATGAAGTTGTTGAAGGCGAGATAGACTTCAACGTTTCTTTGGAAGAATCGGGTATTGTCGTTGAGGATGCTGGAAATGATGGAGGCACTGCAACGGGAAACGATGCTTTAACTATATTGGATAATCCAGCAACAAGAAATGATTTTATTGACCAACTATTTGAAGTATGTCATAAATCTATTTTATCATATACTCTATAAAAATTGAATTTATCATATTAACAATAACAAAATAATTTTACTTATAACAGCTTGAAGCCTTTTTGAAATTACGACTTTATGAACTTCAAGGCGACAGTAGTAAGAGTCTTTTGACCATGAGTCAATTCCAAGAAGCATCACCTTTGCTTCAACTTGCCACACTAGATAGTACTCAAAGTATGTTAGATAATGTCCAAGTTCTTCTAACGGAAATTTTGGACAGCAGAGTTCAGCATCTTCACAATGTCAAACATTCACCAAGGTAATAAATTCATTATGTAATAATTCTAAAGTGTTCTAGTAATGCATATTGATAATTATGAATAATTTATCGTGACAGGTATGTGGACGTATTGACTGGTGTATTAAAGCAAAAACTGTCATTGGTGGAAAAAATGGTTCTATCGCAAAAGTTGGTTGAGCAAAGAATAAAAGAAGCTAGAGAACAAGCTCTTGCGTTACAACCAATGTTAAAGCTTGTAATACAAAGGACAAAAGAATTACAGATCGAGGTGGGTATGACATTATATGAAATAGTATTAATTTTGTTGATCATCAAACGGCTAATTTTGAGCATTGATAACTATTTATTTTTCAGATTGAACAAGATATATCTAAGAAATACAAAAACAGAGTGGTACGATTAACAGGTGGTGTGCATACCTTATAAATAACGAAATTAAGTAACTGCGGGCTGTGGGATACGTTTGAAATAATAAAAATTGTATATGTTTCATGGGTTGTGTAATTTTTTTTACTGTTTGTCGTTGCTTAACTTAGGATACGTTCTTAATTCATTACCGGTACTACAAATACCATTGTGTTCTTGTGTACCAGCATGCAATTGAGAGTAGTAAATTTCGAAACGTACCTTGAATCATGTACTATAAATTGATTCCTTGTTACAACATTGATTTTATACTATCGATGTCTCTAATATATTTTTGAGCATATTATGAAAATTATTGATATCATTAAGAAAAGGTTTCGAACTTGAAATACTTATAAGTCTGTTGCAATTGATGCCCATAATATTTTGGTACATGGTAAATTTATACATTTCTAATGTAAATAAATATGTATGTATAATTTATGAGTGGATATTTTATATGTTATTCTCTAATTGCTAAATGTAATATACATCTCACAGAATAAGCTTGTCATTCATATAATGATTAACGATTATAACGACCGAGGTAGTGAGCCCGCATAAGGAGAATAATAAAATTATAGTTTGCATCGATTGTGTTTAAAGCTATGCAATTATTTGTATACACTACTCCATATGAAGTTAACGTATTTAAACATTATGATTATACATTTCTACCATTCTTTGTATGTAAAACAAAACTATCTGTTCCATAAAACATTCATTTTGTATGGTTTAAAGTGTATTATGCAATGACAATCCATTTGAAAAATATAATTTTGTAATTAAATATATTTTGTATTAAACTACAAAAATTAGTAAAAAATCAATATCTTGCAGCCAGCATTCACTAGTTTAAACTGGAACAATCAATATCTGTATGTCAAGTAGTATTTTTCGCAGCAAGTGTAATATTACCGATTTCTGATTAATATATTATGTTCGTCAATGGTATAAAAGAGAAGTGCAATTCTAGCAATCACTTTTTCTAAATTAACAAAACATTTAATTCCCTTACAATTAGAACATAATATATTTGGCACGAAATTACATTTGATTCGAATGCCTCCAGTCGATACCAAAGCTACCTTTTTCCTAACAGTGAAATCTAACTTGTTATGCAAAAGCTAGAAATTCATGAAAAGGTTTTGCACCAACCTCCATGGTGACGACATGCACATAGCTTTTGTTTTAGGACACGGATATCGACTTAAGCATTCTGCCAATGATCTGTCGCATTCGCACAAACGTTGGGCACATGATCCTGATGATCCCCATTCACCATGCTCAATAGCTGTAATCGAAAAATAATTTACTATGACTTTTGAATCCGGATTCACAAATCAAACAGATAAGTAACTCATATACACAATACTGATAATAAATAATAATATAGATAAAACCGACCGCAGATAGGTTTGTACCCTCGATGACACTTCCAGTAATAAGGGACAAAGTATTCTAAAAACATTGGGCACTCCGTAGCATCGTAACACCAGTCGTGCATCTTGCAGCATCTGAAATCAGACCTCTTTAACTTTTGAAAGGAATTAAATTTATCGAAACAATTGTGTAATTCAGAATATTGTTACTATAGCATAATTACAAAATTTCCTTCATCTACTAGTAAGGTATAACATCCTTGGGTATAACTAGTTAATTCAGTAGCGCTAATAATATAGGAATTTTCCATCTAGAAAATGTACCTTCTGCAATGCCAGAAGGTGGTTCGGATGGTCTTGATGCTCATAGAAAACTGTGCCGGTATACAGGTGATTCTTAGATGGACTTACCGGTCGATTCCGTCTATCGTGTATCCGGATCCCAGAAAGCCACAGTAACATCCGTAACCCTTGTAATCAAGAGGATTGCAGCCAGTGGCGCAGACGACCATATTATACAAATGTATGACTCCTCTTTTGAATCTTGCCCCGCGTAAATGTCGCCCGGCGTCTAACCAGCTGAAAGTGTCTCGTTAAAATTAGTTTTAACAAGCAGTCCGCTTAGCCTATCAAATTTCTGCATGAACTTTTTAGAAGTTTTTTTCTACGGCTTCGATACCTTTTGCAGAATTCTTTCATGAGACAAGTAATAATGCGCTGAGTGAAGTCGTTAACGACGTCACGTAGAGCCGTATCGATCGCCAGCATAAAATAATATTCTGCATCAAGTTACTTAATATCGCATACGCATATACATATGTATAAAATAATACTGTATGTCATTAAAAAGTCTTCAAACCTTCAAACAATATCTTTACATCACGTCTCTGACTTTATTTATAGCTTTGGAAATAAATGCAAGTTTTTTCATGTCTCGCTGACATATGAATTTGACTATACCAAATTATCTATTTGCAAACTCGAAATAACATGATAAGATAATTTTGCTTAAGGAGTATAAATAAATTTTGATCGTAACAGAAACAACAAAGACACTGCTTCGGATCTTACAATTAGATTCATTTACAAAAGTCATTTTGTCCTTACGAAATTTGCTTGGTCCAGCTGTTATTGAACATAGCGGAGTGTTTGGAAAATGAGGATCTCGCTTGACGAGGATACTTGTAATGACAGTCGCTGCTGGAAGATACACTTTCCCATGGATCCCCACTGCATCCTAGATACAATTCATCTCCGGATAAGGTATTTCTGTTCTCCTGATCCTCAACTCGATTCGTTGCCAGCTCGGAGTCTCGTTCCCGTCGATGAGCACGAGGAACACCGAGTATCTGACCCCCTGCAATGTTTGTTAGCATTTTTAGCATTTCAAGCATTTTTAACAAGCCTAACAACACACATCAGTATTATAAAAACTTAGACTATCGTCTCGACTATATTTTAATCTTCCTTATGATCTACTTCCATAGATCACTTTAAATATTATGTAAAAAAACTGATTCTTGTTTTCTATTTCAAACTAGATCAACTAATACGTTTATTGAATGATATTTAATCATATCAAAAATATGTTTCCCAATTATTTATTACTTGATTGATGAGTCAGTTAAAATAAGTTAATAAGGCAGAATACGACATCTCGTTGAAGAGCTTCATGTAAAAAGAACTAAAGAATCTACAGCTAACTTCAAGAAAGAGTTGTATTCTACAGTTTAGCGATGAATTATCCCGCATAAATAAGATCTATGGTTCCAGACTTTACACGTCTAACGAAAGATTACTTTTACGTTTGTTACAACCTATGCATATGCATGGTTTTGCACTGAGTATGTTTTATTGTTCTATTTCAGCATATATTTGTTAGTTTATGTAAAACCTTGTGTGATTTGCTAAAGATTGCATTGCTTACGAACTGTCAGAAAAAGACATTGAACTCGTGAACCGTATTACATGCGTTATACATACCAGTGCACGGAGAAATTCTTAAACAGTGAGTGAGGTTAGGAAGGTCGGTAATATAACAGGTGGCTGTATATACATAACGTATAATATAATTGGCATTAAGCACGCAGAAGACGTTTGGCATTGTGTCTTTGTAGCCTAGTGCGATTCATTTTTCCAGTGATCTAGGCTAGTCAACTTCTTTGTTCATAAAACTAGCTCGACCTTCGAGGCTTTTCAAATGCACCACAATCTACCGAACCACGAGTGCGAGGAGCGAACAAAGTATATCGCGTGCAAACTTCAACGATCTTCCGCTAGGTTGGCCAGACTCATCAGTTTATACCGGAAGGACGGAAGTTCAACTAAATCAGTAGGTATTCACTATTGTGCAGGTATTTTTTTTCCAATTTCGTTTATGCCGTTCAGGATTCTTTACGTATATTTGTTATGTATTTGACTATTCTAGTAAAATTCTATTCTTGCCGCGTGACCATGCTTACGTGCAACGATACAAATTGATGTCCATGAGGCCAAGCTTTGACGTTCAAATTTGTAATATACTTCATCCTAGTAAAATTCTTATCAAACAGGATATCGACTATTGCAGACTTGTATTACAACCAATTGATTCGAAAAGGCAGGAAAAATATTTCATCATTCGAAATTCCGGTAGACCGATAGAATTTTTATTCTTATCATAGAACTTTAATTGTGGGCATTAATCTATAGATTTTTCCTATACATTAAATATCCACCGCACGCCCGTTATCGATAAAGATAAACGTTGTCAATATTAGCAACATGTACTAAAAAAACTCTTGTGCACCAACTAAACGTCTAAAATCTGTTCTAGACATATGTTACACTAGTCCCATACTAGTCTTGCATCTAAAAATTTAACCTGGAGGGTGCGAAAGATTCTTGAAGAGATTCGCTGAGGAGTTCGTAAAATCTGGATCTTTGAAGTAATTGGGTCCTCAATTGCTTGACAAGGGTCAGCGGTGGAAATTGTCGAGTGGATTATGCGTGACAGCGAGCTCTAACTGTACGAGTATAGTTGGAGCATGTCGCGGTCTCTATTGCCTTATGTGAGAACCTTAGTAAAAAATTGTTGAAGGTGTTTTTTTTTTAAATAGTTTTTCTGATTTTAGGATTGATATGCTTCACGTGATATTACATTCAGCATGGAACGAAGCTAGAACTTTTTAAAGGAATCCTTGAAAGCAGCAACTTTCGTATAATATTCAAAAATTCGGTCAGCAGCTGCGTATTTTGCGGTCGGGAATGACAGCCAAGTTCTAATTAATTGCGTGCTAACGAAGTCATGCGTCTTTGCGAATCGTCGAGAGGATAAGACACTGAGAGAAGAAAGAAAGCTGTATAAGAATCATGTACCTATTAATTAGCTCTTTGTGCAAGAAAGGACTATTCAGAGAGTTTTGTGTGATTTAATTGGAACAACTTAAACTGTTCATTTGCTATTATCCAGACGAGCAATATTCTTCACACATATTATCTTCGAATTAGAAAACTTAGTCCAAATTCTGTAAAAGTTCTTTTCTGTGATTAAGTTGATATTATGGTTTTTGCTAATACCTTTTCACACTATTTGAAAAACAAAATCATTTGATCAGAAATTCTTTGAAATACTTATCCTCGTACTGTGACAGGTGATATTATATATACATATACATATATCCGTTATATGTAATATTATAACTACATCGTTTTAATGAATAGCTGTTTTTGACATAAAATCTATGCTTATCATAAGTAATTGAAAGATACTTGTCAGGGCGATAATAACGATAGAGTAAACTGCAAGGACCTGATGAGCGTCAATCAATAAAAAATCGATCTTTCAAATGGCAGTTCTGTTGACTAATTGATTTTTTTGTATTTAAAGAAGATACACTATTTATTTATATGCACGGTCTCAGTAAATCATCTTCCTTTTGTATGTATTTAGCCTGGACCTTAAATCAAATTGATAAAGATAGCTGATTCGGATGGAAACGTGACGATCCTTTGGTCTGATCTTTGGAGCCTTTTTTCTACAGGAAAATACTTCCCTATGAATGCCTAGAGGTATTGCTGTCGGCTGATTGGCCAGTCAAGGTGTATCTCCCATGAGAATACATGACGAAGGAAGAGATAGATGGAAAACGAAGTAAGGAAGAAAAGAAGGAAGGAAGAAAGTTACTAAGAGATCTTCTCCCGACCTGAACAATTCGTTAGCAGGTTCAGTACATGAATAAGATATTGCTGTGTGTACATATGTGTGTATACGTGCTGTGTGGGTCACCTATCTAAAGGCCATGTGTCTGGAACGTAGCGGAAGCCTCGCTAGTTAACTTCTCCACTCCTGTGCGAACTTCATTAATTAAACGCCTCGTTACCGTGTTCGGATTTGGTCCTTTCACAAATACCAAAACCTATCCTGGCGAATGGATGCTTGGACCATTGTCAAAGAGAAGAATCACAGATACGTCATAGAAAGCAGTTACGAGGATGTCTCTATGATAAACTAGTATTACAAATGTATTATAGATTGTTTTGGCGTATACGTACCAGCACATGCTGATGTTAGAAGCATTGTAAGAAATGCTAAAGCGTATGTTGCACGTGGATTCCGAGATTGTTGAAGCAATTGACAGTTGTTCCAGCTGCTGGATACACGGGTCCAAAGTGAATGATGCATTTGGGTTTCCGTTATGAGGTAGGATATCGTGATTTTTTTTACTTCTGTCACCGGGTAACTTCCGACAATGATTTCTTAGTTATTGCTGGGTTCACCACTAAACGACCAAAGTTTTTTTGAATTTTCCCGCCGGTCATCGCAATGGCAGTTAAATGTGTCCCACCATTGATTTCGTTCACTATTCACTTTGCTATTTTTCGAATGAGTTTTTTTTTTATTTATTAAGTTTACGCGGAAAAAAAACGTCTCCTGGACCATTTGCTCTTTATGGAGTTTCTTCTCATCAAGGACTGCGTTTCTGATGGTTGGCCGAGAGTAAGTGGCGAAGAGTAAGAAGCAGCACCTGTCTTAGAAAACGACATACTGTTTCCCCTTCTACTGTTCCTATAGATCTTTTAACGTTCTCCTACCAAAATGACAATGAAGAGTTTTCGCATCATTTTTGAGATCACCGGAAACCAATTTCATACAATAGTGGTATGGAAGTTTGAAATTGTCGGTTACTTTTTTTTCGATAATAAAAGTAATGTTTAAGGTGTTAGGCCACTCTAGAGGCCGAAAAAAATAGGCTTTTTTAGGATTTTTTTTTCAGAAGTACTACAAAATAAATCGAGATTCCAATAAAGAGTATTTATTATACATATTAGTGACTGTGTACAATAATTTTTTAGAAGCGATTAATTTCAAAATGGCGGCTGTACAGTCTTTTTGCGATGACGCCTCCGTTTTTTCAGGGTCCACGGCCGGACAAACAGCTCCTGTAATGTTTGAATTATAAGAAGCCAATTTTTTTTTTAATTCTATATAATAACTGCTATAGAAGTACGTAGGTTTTTTCGATATATTAATTTTTGGCTAAATGGCGCACTTCCAAAGTGGAAAGTGAAAAATTGGCCTAAAAAATCATCGGATAATTGTTAATAACAAATGAACTATGCACTGTATAAAAAAAATCCTACGTACTTCCATAGACAATGTATTTTTCAAGATATATTTAAAATTTCAAGTGAATCGGTTGAAAATTGTCGGAGTTATGTTTCCGGCCAACTTCAAAAATCTAGTTTTGAGATATACGCATTTGAAGTTTGTAGAAAGTCAGAACATGAATAATGTTTCAATACCTAGAATACGAAAATCGAGTACTTAGGGATTTTTCACGCACATAATCTTTTGTAATATAATTCTATAGATACTAAGGTACCTTTTTAACAAAAAAAAAAAAAAAAAAAAAAAAAAAAAAAAAAAAAAAAAAAAAAAAAAATCAATTTTTTGAAAATCCTAGAGTGGCCTAACCCCTTAAGCATAAAATATTTGATGTATGTAATCTCCGTCTGAATTTGGTAAAAAAATGAATAAGCTCTTAATTCAGTTTGATCAATTTATTTGTGCGTTACCGATCACGGAATGTATAGTAATATTATTTATTGTAGTTTCCCCAAAAATTTGAAATTAACCAAAAAGACAATTAAATTCATATCAGACGCTTTTCCCATGATAAACTCAATTTTTTCTTCTTGCAAGCGAGGAGGCTTATTATGCTTCGCTTTTAAATATAAATTTGCGTCACACTACTGCACAAGAGTAACGATTACCCTATATTGATCAAGGAACCGAACAGAAGGTAACACGCTGCATTCAAGATACTATCCGTAAGACGCTCGCGGAAAAGTAACACTGCAACTAGCGGTACTTTATTTATGGTAGTGGTCATCGCGTCTTGGTGTAAGAATCGAGTGGAAAAAAAAAAAAAACACCGTTGCAATGAGAACTCGAGTAATTAGTCTAATAGTAAGTACGAGCATAAAGACTCGGACAAAGGTTCCCAAAGTTATGACGGCATAACGAGATGTCACAGTTCACTCTGTTAAAGATCGTGAAAGTTACGTGACGTTAACCTGTTTAAATTCATTTACCTTTTTTTTCATATTAGACCCAATTTTTTATGGCATTTTTCATTCGAGATCGATTAATCATTTTCGAATTACCTGTACAACAGTATATGGAAGAAAGTAGAACTCTTATGGGAAATTATATATTTTTTTCTTTATATAAAGGCGAATCCAGGATTTTTCTTTAAATATGTCAATTTTCTGCTACAAGTCTGTTGGATATGTGGTTTAGTAAAGGAGAATACTGGTTAAACGGTAATATCGCTCCATGCGCTATTTCGCCAAGGGAGCCCACGCTCTCTGAAAAGCGATGGCAGCGCCACGCGTTGCACAACAACGCAGTACCATTAGTCGGACAGTTGCGAAAATGCAGCGCTCTTTGGAGTTGAGAAACTTGGGTGTAACTTCGTCGGAGATAATGGCTGCATCTTGTTCATAGCGTAAATGCTCTCCGGTAATCTGTACGTCGGTACGTTGATGAACCATACGTGTAATATATGAAGAAATGTTTTGTGTGTTTTTGTAATTGTATTATTTATTATTATTGTATTATGTCATATGCTAAAAGAAGCTAGAAAACTAATATAAATCATATGGTAGTTCGTGTCATTCGTATACACCATATAGGTTAGGTTGAAATTATCAGGATGACATATAATATGTATTATCGATTCTTCATCTGTGTCTGTATTGGAGTCTTGATATAGCAAGGATATATTTAAATCAGGCAAGGCCAGGCTAACCTGTACCAGCAATCAGGTACATCCTAGATTCGTACTTTATTACCAGATTAATTTATTGATTCAAATTAAATGATTTATCAGCACACAGGCTTTATTAGAATTTAATTTATTTTAATTATTGTCCTTTGTACTTTGTTATTCTATGAATAACAGTATCATATAGATACTTTGATATAGTTTGAAAGCATCATGTGACACATACATGACAGTGAATTTCGGGAATAGGGTGAAAGATTATGCGTTTGACGTAATATTGTTTACTGTGATTGAACACTATAGCAACTGTTTATCGTGTACTTCCTAGCTGTTTCTGGCTCGACACTGATGACATTGATTAAACACGTTATGAAGTTTTGATTGATCGTAAGGGTGGTAGGGGGAGGCGTTATGATGTGGGAGCGAATTTTAATTTAAATTGTATGTACAAAAACTTGTATGAAGTGGGAATATTATTGCAATATGATTGTTATATATTATTAGTAAAGTTGTATTGTGCAACAAGTGTGATTTACGTTATATGTGGAAAATTTTAAAAATTGTTTTTCGTTATACAATTCATAATGAATTATAACAAATACACATACACACAAAAATACACACCTTAAAATAAACATAGTCTGAAATATTCAAATGTAATTTGTAATGGGAAATGAAATAAGTTTTAAAAAGATGATTCGTTGAAATGTTATCAGTTAGAAAAGTCTTATGAATATTTATTTATACTTTGTATCGATAATGTCATTCTGCCATAGGTACTCTAGATTTCAAAAGGGCTAACAATAACGTTGTCCTTTTAAATATAAATTCCATAACACTCTCTTCGTTTTTATCAATATTTCATAAATCTTTGTTACGCAGCATTAGTGGATTTCTTGACTTTGATTATACTTTTGAGATTATTAACAAAGAGATCGGCAGATGAGGAATCTTTGTTATCAGGATTTGACCGTTATATTACGTAGTAACGAATTTTTTGGGGCAAACTCGAAATGGCTATTATTTTCATGGCCGCGTGATAAGTAAATGAACTACTTGGAAAATTTAATCGCACCCACACAGCACAGAAATATTTTGTCAACAGTGCCAAAAGTTTCCCTTGAAATAATGCAATATTACCGGAAATATATTGAAAATTGTTTAAATATTTCTGGAATGTTGCAGGAACCTTGCAATGTCCGCTCAGCACGTTGCAATCATAATATTGCTATAATATTGCCGGTCAATATTTCGGAAATATCAATGCATAATATTAATAAAATATAACTCAGATAGATAACTGAGAATAAATTCCAATGACAGCAATGTTATCGTGGGTTTCTCTGGGCAGGTTGCCTATACCTCCTTAAATATTACCTCGGTTGTATTTTTAAATACTCTATACAAATGCAATAATTTCACATGTAATTTTTACATGCAGAATACAAAAGTATATATCGACGGCGAAGACGAAAATCGAATAATCGACGGATTAATTATTTACCTGGTCCTACGTTTTTTCATGCGAGTTACCTTGGCCACCTAGTGGCGCGGCAGCGAACTAGTGTTCGCTCGGATACTCCGAGTCTGGTTAGGGACTCTTGTCACAGATTTCAGCAATAATACAGAAAGTTTTATTTATTATATTGCCCTGAAATATTGCGCAATATTTGACATAAAGACATCAACAACATTGCTGTCGCAATGAAATATTGGAATATTGATGTAATGTTTTCGAAATATAGTGTGCTGTGTGGGCAGTATACATATATGATAAAAGTCATATATTTTTGCTTAGATTATAAGCAAGTGTTATCATTGTAACGTATATGGGCTGTAATAAATGCAAAACTTTCTTTGGCATCCGTTTGAATGTGATTAGTCGAAATTATAAAAAACTTCATTTGACAATAATTTTCATTTGTCTTATGGTAAAAGTTCGTGTTTTCAAAATTGCATTACTATGCTATTTTTTGTCTGATAAAGGAAATCTGCTGGATCGAGTCCCACTGCGCACTATTATAATCATACTATGATTTGGGCAATTAGACAGAATTATACATAAAAACTAAAAATAATAATACTGAAGAGCAGCTACATCGAGTGATAACAGAATCGTCATATGCACATTGGATAATGGAAAGTTGCTAATATTTAAAAGTGATTTGAATATATAAAATATATTATAAAGACTTCATCCCTTGCTTGATAAGTACAGGAATAGGAAAATACGTCATGGTGGCGTGATTTATAATTGTCGCATTAGGTAATAACTGTACAGATGTAAATCGGGACACAGTGTGGTTTTTTATACTTTTACCGGTAGAGAAATCTTTTCTGCTTGTCTCGGTCAAGGTTGCGCCGGAAGGAAGTCCTGTACAATAAAGTCACGTGTCGCGAGTTTCTCGTAGCTATTTTATTTCCTGGCGTGAAGTAACAACAGCGTTTTACTTTATAATTTTGTGATGAAACGATATCAATCAGTTTCGAAAGATTTTCAAAGGAATTGTCATTGGGATAAACTTTGTTCCGATTGACATATTGATGTTTGTTTGTTCAATAGTCAGGAAGCGAATTATCGGATATATTAAATGCATAAAAAGAAGCTTAAAAAATTCAATATACTTTTTACACAGCTTAGTTATATGTAAGTATAATTTTTCATACATTATAATTTTCAAAGTAATTGTGCGTCTTTCAGA